ATATTTCATGAGAAAATTGAGATCTCTGGTTGTATTTGAAATGGTAGAAATTAATTCAGGCTTCGACCACATTCTTCCAGAAGGGCCACAAACTCTCCATATTGTTCAACAAACACACAACCAGGGAAAGTTTTTGATGTTTTAAATTTTATTTATTTATTTATTTATTTATCCTTTATTGATTTTAGAGAGAGAGAAGAAGGGAGAACGAGAGAGAGAGAAACATGGATGAGAGAGAACATCGATTGGCCTTCTCCTGCATGCCCCCCACTGGGGATCAGGCCCACAACCTGGGCATGTGTTCTGATTAGGAATCAAACTGGTGACCTCTTGGTGTATGGGTCAATGCTCAACCACTGAGCCACACCAGCCAGACAAAAGTCCCAAATTTAAGCTGGGCCAGAGACAAAGCCAGTAAGGAGAAACACACTCATTGCCATAAAGTTTTCTAAATTAAAAAAAAAAAAATCATTAAAAATAGATAGTGAACATGACATTGTAGTAAGACTTCTCTCTCTTTCTCTTTCTCTCTTAATAGAAACATGAGCTTGATATGACCAGTGGGCCTTTTCAAAGGCACACTCAGCATACTTAGTCCCGGCTTTCTGACAACCAGAAAAAAAGATAAATTTGCTTTTAATTTTCTAAAAAAGCATTACTCAGTTTAATTACTATTAATATAAAATATCAATTACAACATTGCAGCCTTCAGACTGCAAAATATTAGGAAAGTTGCTATTCATGTGTTTTTATTCAGAAGTCATTGGAAATAATGCCCCACGATACCACTTTGAAAGAACCTCCCTCCTGAGACGTTCCGGCCAGAAAGAACAATCCTGCCAACAGCAATCACTAGAAGCCAGGATCCACTCTCAGTGCCCCCACGAATAGACTCTCCTTTCCACACAACCCGGTCAAGTTATTTATGTGAGATACGTATTATCAGTATTGACATTTTATCCATGAGAAAGTGAATCACAAAGAGGAGAGAGTATTAGGCTCAAGGCCCACAGCACGTACGAAGCAGATCTGTGTTTGAATACCGCTGGAGAACCCCCGAGATGCTGCTGCTGCCATTTCACTGGAAGAAGGTGAGAGGTGGAGGCAGATACAACTCACAGACACGGGTGCCTAGGGCTCAAGGAAGAAGGCTTTGCTGCTTTGGGAGCGGTGGTAGGCAACAGCCTGGGGCATTCATGTATACGCAACGTGTGGCAGCATCGCGGTGCTGCTTCTTCGAGCTATCAGCTGAAACAGCTCCCGAAAGCTGATGCAGTTTCAACGCGCGTTCAGGAATGGGAGCCGTCTCTCTGGTGTCTGCCTGTGGCTCTCTCCCTCTGCCACCTGCTCTCGTTTAATTTGGATACCTCAGGACTTTTCTCTTGTCAATATAAAGCAAACACTTTCATTCTAACTTATTTACTAAATCTGTAATTTAGTAATATGATCTCAAATATTCAGCTACTTAAACATTATTTAAATACAAAGCAGGTTAAAATTTAACACTCACCTGTGCATAAATGCGATTTTGCTGCTTCTCTCCAGCTGCAGTTGATGTGCTCGTCAGTCCTGCTTCCCCTGATGGCAGACACATCAAACCTTGATGATGAGTGATAACTAGCTGATGCTGCTTTCAAGCTTAGTTATCACTGTGTAATGTGGGGAATGTTGAGGTTTCCTATTCCCATTCTAACAGCTCCCTGGTGAGATCTCAGGCTGGGGGCTGAGGTATTGTCCTGTGTCAGAAGAGGCACAGACACTGAGGCATGGACAGCTGCTGCACACAGTACCTGCTGTGGCCTCATAGCTGTGAGGTCTAGTCACCTGGACCCTCCCAGACCTGCAGTCCAGCCACCAACTCTTCGCACGTTGCCTGACAGCCTTTTCATCCACGTCCCGCTCCCCCACTCTCACAGGTCAGTCTCCAGCAGCTACGTCCCACTAGGCTAGCATGGCCAGTTCCTTCGGAAGCAGCTTTTACAGTCTTCTCTGGTGTCCCCTTTCTTCAGCCATTGCCAATCTGTCTTCCTTCCAGCAACGTTTGTCCTGGAGCCAGAATGAATTGAAGGAAACTTTAATAGGCTTACAGCCATCACTGCTATGAGAATCAGAGGAGAAAGAACTCCCTGTGATTTCCAAAATCTCTGTGACATTGTCTGGCTGGCGTGGCTCAGGGGTTGAGCGTCAACCCATGCACCAAGAGGTCGCCAGTTCAATTCCCTGTCAGGGCACATGCCCACGTTGTGGGCCCAGTCCCCAGTGCAGGGCATGCAGGAGTTGGCCAATTGATGTTCTCTCTCATTGATGTTTCTATCTCTCTTTCCCTCTTCCTTCCTCTCTCTCTAAAATAAATAAAGAAAAAAAAATGTAAATTATAGAAATGAATAAAAACTTCTATCGACATAAAATTTTGCACACAGATGTTTATTACCTCTTGATTCATAGCTACCATACTTGGAAACAATAACATGTCTCTGAGTAGGTAAACGAATAAACAAACAGTGGTGCATCCAGTAAATAGAACAGTATTCAGAGCTTTAAAAAAATGAGCTGCCATGCCATAAAAAGATATAGCTTATAAACTTACATCCATATTACTAAGTAAAAGAATCTGATACAGAAATTCCACATACTATATGAATGTCATATCACTGTATGACATTTTGGAAAAGAAAAAAAGACTATGGGGACAGTAAAAAGATACATGGTTGCCAGGGATGAAAGTCCCCAGGGAAGGATGACTTGGCAGAGCACAGAGGTTGGAAGTATTCCACAGGATGCAGTCATGGTGGATACATGGCATTGCACAATGTATAGTATACATTTATCCAAACTCATTGCATGCACAACACTAAGAGTGAACTATAATGTATACTATGGACTTTGGGTGATTATATTGTATCAATGGAGGTTCACCAATAATAACAAATGTATCACTCCAGCCAGGGATGTAGATAATAAGGGAGTCGTGACTGTGGTGAGGCCGGAGAATAATATAAAGAAAACCTCTGAACCTGCCTTTATTTTGCCATTAACCCAAAACTTCTATAAAAGTAGTCTTTAAACAATAAGTAAATGAAACAAGTATTTAATTATATTTTACATTATACATTTGATATATGCAAACAATTTACAAAACAGAAATTCATTTTACATTAATGTAAATGACTCACATGGAAAATATTTGAATCCTGTAATAAATCAACAAGGAAGACTTGGTAAGTTATCAAAGAAATATTCTACAAAACACTTGTGGAAGTAACAAATTCATCATTTTTTTTTTTTTTTTCAGAGTATTTATTTCCCATGATTTATGAGCTATTCTTAAATAAAGTCAGAGATAAAGCTCCCTGTTTTTCTCAAAGACAAATCTAGACTTTATATAAATACTTGAAAGAAAGAAAATATCTGATCTTAAACTTGTGTACTACTTAAAATATGTGCACATGTATTTTAAGGTAAATGAAATACAAGTGGGTTTAATCAAAGATAATTTATTAATTTATGATCTATTAATATAATTCAGCTCATAGTAGATTAGGCATAAAAGACTCTGTGTTCTCTCCCATGAATTTCTGAAAAACCAATGGATAAAAATGCATTAATTTCGTCTTCTTAACATAGTAAAGCAATTTTAAGTAAAAGTCTGAAATAGGATAAATAATCATTACTATACATTACATGTATAAAGAAATTATTTTTTAAAGGAGAGTTAACTAATGGGAAAAAGTAGACAACTGACAGTATTCGGTATACCAGTTAGCTATTCAGCTAAGGCGAAGACCTTCTGATGGGAGAACACATCCTTCTGGACCCCCCAAACATCAATATATTTTAAGTACATGATAAAGGTAACATCTGAAATCAGTGAGGAAAAACTGGGTTTCTCCCAAACAAAGCGGGGAGAAATATGAACATAGAAAGTAAGCTGATTTTCTTGTATAATATGAAGAATATTTATACGAGGTCAGGTTTGTTTTTAAATAATATTTTCATTATGAAAGTCAATTTTGCTGGAAAGAAGTGGTAAAGAACACTAGTTTCCAATATCCTTTCCAGAGACAATTACTATCAACAGTTTTGGTCTCTTTTGTCTAATTCATATTGTAGCACAACTTCTTATTGTTGACCTCATTCTTTATAGCCACTCATAACTCTTGCATTTTTCAATAAACATCATTCTCATTTCACATTTAATCACACATATTCAATACCACCGTTGAAAACAAAAGGGGATTCCATGATTTTCTTTTAAATTGTTTTTCTTTATTTATTTTAGAGAGAGGAAGGGAAAAAGAGATAGAAACATCGATGAGAGAGAACATTGATTGGCTGCCTCCTGCATGCCTCCCACTGGGGATCAGGCCCACAACCTGGGCATGTGCCCCTACCAGGAATTTAACTGGCAACCTCTTGCTGCATGGGTCAATGCTCAACCACTGAGCCACACCAGCTGGGCTCCATGATTCTTGATGATTTTCTTTAAAGAGTTGTATGGGCTATTTGAGGTTTCCTATTTTTCATCTTTACATAACATAATTTGTGACCAACTGTGCACATAGCTTTTTTTGGTATATATGCAGACATTTGCACTAGGTATCTCTGTAGCTGAATGGGGAAATATTTTCTGGGTCCCTTGGCTTTGGTTTGGACACATTCTCTCAGAGTTTAGCATTGAGTCAAATATAAAAATGATGATTTTCTTTTATTTTTTGCCTCCTTCTCGAAATTGCTGTTTTATTTAGTGTTAAAAAGGTTCAGAAAGGAAGTGAATAGTTTTGTAAAGTAAGCTCTTTAAAAGCAATCAATTATAGTTATTTTTAAGTCTACTAATCAGTATCCTTTAAATGTGTAATCAAGTGGCAGTTATAATTACTTGAGCCACTTGGCTCGTCATACAGCTGAATTTACTGAAATTCACTCATTTTCCTTTCTTGTTCCTTCAGAGCTTGTAAATAAGGTGTTCTATTTTGTTTTGCTTTTTTTCTCTCCTCATAAAGCTTAGTTTTGGAGGAATTCCAGTTCCAGGCAAACCCGGGACCTTTTTAAAGAAAAACTTCCAGGGCTGCATGGAGAACCTCTACTACAATGGAGTCAACATCATTGACCTGGCTAAGAGGAGAAAGCACCAGATTTACACCGTGGTAAGTGCGCACCTTCCCACCTGGCGGTTTCCAGCATGTACACATCCCGCGCTGGTATCTCTTGGCCCCACGTTTCTATTTCCCTTTTGGAGGCCTACCCGCCCCCGACGCGCAGGGAGATGCAGGGACGAGGCAGTGCGAGTTGCCTCAGTGGGGGAAACACATACGTGGGTGCCCGGGACTTGCGCGTCGCTGGCTGTGTGCTGGGAGGCGTCTGTGGTGAGGGCTAGTCCCCCGGGCTAACACGGCTCTTCATTACTCTGGGAGAGGAAACAATGGAACCAGAGATTTTGTTGAAGTCTTATTGCTGATACTTAAAATAGGGCATTTGGAAGGAGAAGTTCACCTTTTGGTGTTCTTGAGTTTCCTGCTGAGCACGATCCTGCTGTGGAGTTAAATCCTGGCTAGTTAATGATGTCTGTCGTCCCCATAGACGTGAGCTTCCTGCCTTTAGCTTTGCCTCTAGTTGGTGCACAGTACCGAGGGGGCCTGCACAGGGCGGGTGCCCGCTGATGCCCCTTCCAGTGTAACTGGATCTGTTTCTCCTTCCAGTCCCACCGGTTGTTGCGTCTGTGTTTTTCAGCTCTGTGGTTTGGTATATACACACTGAAGATGAAGTCTTCCTTGTGGATTGGCCGTATTATCAACTCTAACGTTCTTTACTGTCTGTGATGACTTTTATCATGTACCAGGTTCACGGAGCTCCACCTGCTGAGGTAGTGGGTCACACTGCTGAGAGGGTGACTCAGGCTGGTGTGAGCCCCAAGGCATCAGCACGCAGGGCAGCCTGGCGGCCACGGTGCCGAGCGCTGGCAGAGCTACGGGAAGGCGAGGGTCTGAGCTGAGTCTTACTTTCCCGGCTCATCACTGCGGCTCCTCCAAAGCAGAGAGCCGGAGCCTCAGATGTCAGTTAGGTCCCTGTGGCAACATTTGTGGCAGACACCTCTGTAGGTGTCATGCATTAGCCAGCATCTTAGTGCTGAGAGGGATTAGCTAAGTCACCGAGTACGCAGCGCAGAAAAAGAGAAATAGGAAGGATCAGAAAAAAAACATGAATTTCTAAATATTGGCAGAATCCACCTCTCCTTTTCAGAGATAATCATTAACCAAACATTTAATCAATGTTTTGTTGAGTTAAACTACTGAAGCTCTTGCCAAGTTTCCTAAAACTTTGCTAGCTTACTTTATTCCTCAGCGTCTAATTGGCGGTATTTTTAATAGGACACATAAAGAAGCTATTTAGTGCTAATGTACTTGGGGAAAAAATCCCAAGAAAATGGTTTTACTTCATAGGTAGACAACCTTTCATTTTAACCTTCACAGTTTAAAGGGAAAACAAAAAACATTATTTTTCTTCTAAATTGCTTTCATCACCTTGCTTAAGTGAGAATTCATATCACTACACACACACACACACACACACACACAGAGTCTTTTTTCCCCTCATAGAACTCTGTGTGGGAAGAAATGGCTTGCACTCTTAATTACAAGAACAAAGTCTTTCGTTCCCCTCGTCAGGCGTAAAGTTTCCCCAAAGACACAGCATCAACTACCAAGTCAGCTTTGCTCCAGGTCGCCCCCTCACTGCTCAGTGAGGACTTTTCCGAGGGATGGTGCCTTGGTCTCCCCCAGGGCTCACCACTCTCCCACAGCGAGGGAGGCTTGGGGATTCCAGAGCGAGCAGGAGACTGGGGGCCAACAAATCAGGCAGCGGGGTCCGGTAAAGCCCATAAATTACAAACTACGACTCCAGACTCGAGGGAGCAGAGGCCTTGGCTTCATCCAGCTCCAGCCTCCGAGCCGGCGGCGCTCAGCCGCATCCTCCCTGCAATTTGTCGTCCTTTCTCGTGGCCTTCCCTCTCCCTGGAGACCGAACAGCTGCTCCGTGGGGATGACTGCATTGAGTCTTTATAGCTTATTTGACTACACGATGATCCTCCACATCCCAAAATGCAGTAAAACTAACGGCTTAAGATAGACATAAAGATACCTCACTATTCTCCCTCAGATTTTTCATCCTATGCTAATAGACCACAATATAATAAACACTCAGCAAGGGAATGGCCATAGAAGTGTGTGTACAGTACCTGTAATGTGTATTATTGTATAAATAAGAAATCTATCGCCCTGCGCGTTTGCTGGAAATGATTCATTTCATACATTCTGCTGCATAATAAATGATGCTTTCCTTTCCGATTGTTACCTCACACCTCCCCAAGGCAAGGAGAGTCACAGGCTTATCCAGGAGTTGGCTGGGGTCTTACTGATGTACTTTACTGTAGATCTTAAAATAAGTTTTTATTTAAAAGAAGAGCGTGGTACAAACACTTGTGTCAATGTGACTTGTCTTCAATCGAAAGGAAGGAAGAATAAATTGGTTACTAGCAGGATATGGTCACACACTGGCTTTGGAGCTAACTGGCCATGTCTCTTCACTTCTGTGCCTTTGTCTACAAATAATGGGAACCAAGGAACTGATGGGCCCTGGCCAATACAAAGCATTTATAACGATACCTACATTGTTATGGCTAAAATTGCTGAACAGTCAGAAAATGAGTCTGCACTCAGTCTCTGGGAAGCCGCAGCTCTGAAGGAACACGTGGTGGGTGGGCTGCGTAGGTCCCCATCCATGCTCTCTCAGCTATGGGGCCTCAGGCACGTCCCCGGGCCTCGGTGCCCTCATATGGGAAGAGGGGACATTTTAACACCTAATTCAAAGTGTTCCTGTGAAGATGAAATATCTTAAGTAATATTGCATAAAATTAAATATGTAAATGGAGACAATTATAGTATCAAACTATAAGTACTCAAAAAGATGGAGCTATTATTAAGTAAAAGTTTTACTCATCCATTTGACTGAAGTTGGCATGCAGACTAATATATATTTTTTGTCACTTTAGGTAGATAATTAATGAGTCACATTCAGTGTTGACATTGTATAATCCCACCAAATAATGAAGGCAGATTGAGAGAGCTCGTGTTTTATCACCTGAGTCTGAAGATTAATTTACTCCCAAACTGTATAAATTAGGAAGTGCGTTTTGGGTAAAGATATTACAAATGTATCCATCTCATTCATCTGAGGAAATTGAATGAGCAGTTCTAGACCAGATTTGGTTAAATGATGTCCTCCTTTAGGCTAAAGCCTTTAGAAAAGATGGAATGGGACTTTTATGTCTATAGGCACAACCGGTGGTCCCAGACAATAGAGCCATGAAGGCCTGGGGGGAGGGGCCGAGATGGCAGCCAGGTGAAGGTGGGCAAGGGGGAAATGAGGGGATATCTGTAATACTCTCAGCAATTAAGATTAAAAAAAAGAAGAAGAAGAAGAAAAGCCTAGCCGGTGTGGCTCAGTGGTTCAGCGTTGACCCATGTACAAAGAGGTCGTTGGTTTGATTCCTGGTCAGGGCACATGCCCTGTTGGTGGGCCTGATCCTCAGTGGGGGGCATGCAGGAAGCAATCATTGTTCTCTCTCATTGATGTTCCTATCTCTCTCTCCCTCTCCCTTCCTTTCTTTCTCTCAATATCAAGGAAAAAAAAAAAAAGAAGCAAAGATGTTGTCCAGTGGATAACAGCTTACTAAGTAAGAGTTGGGCGGGGGAGGGTATGACCTTTGTCTAGAGTCTGCTGTCATTCACCTCGCTGGAGCACGGTGGTTCATTTCTTGTAGCTCTGAAGCCAGGAAAATGCACTCAGAGATAAGTACACGTCTACAGATGACATCACGCACATTTATATCTGAATTCACACACATACACACACACACACACACACACACACACACACTGGTCCAGCATCCTTTGTCTTACCTTCCTGTGACCCAGACACTCATGAAAAACACTCAGAGAAAACTCCCTGGTGTCTAGTGAAGCACATAAGCTCTTCAGCTCGTCCCTGGGATGCTGTTCCACCTCTGTGGGCAGGCCCCACGATCAATTGTACTTCTCCTCGATGGGAGACGTGGTTGGAGAAAGCATGACATCGCATGTCTTCCCGATCTCGCGGCTCTCTCCCTCTGCCGCTGACCAGCCTGACATTCAGATCACCTGCTCCACACGGTGAGCTCCTCCTGCCCTGGGAAAATTAGTTCCAAGTTATTAGCATCCGGAGCAGTGTCTCCCTTTTTTTTCCTTTGAGAAAATTGAAATAGTTTCAAGGTTGTATGAGAAATGATGTGACTTAAAATTTTAAAAATAAAATAACAATGGAATGGTCATCCTCTCTGAAAATTATCCCACCTTAAATCAGTGCTATGACTTTCTTCTTGAAGGTGACCGGTTTCATTAGCTCATATAAGAAAATCATTACTTGAAGTTATTAAAAAACGACTTGAGAATGTTAAAAACATATATTTACATATATATACTTGGTGAACATGTGGAATACACAGAACACCTAAACAGCCAGAGAGAAAAACACTGTTCTCATGTGTATGTATTTTATTTTCATATTTTAAATACATATTTTATATGCCATAGGCACTTTTATATCTTGATTTCTATGGTTAATATTTTTCTTAAAACATTTTCTGTCTTGCCCTGGATGGTTTGGCTCTGCAGTTAGAGGATCGGCCCTCGGACCAGAGAGTCCTGGGTTCGGTTCCCATTAAGGGCACGTACCTCAGTTACTGATTGTTCCTGGCCCTGGTTGGGGTCATGTGGGTGGCAAGCACTTGGTGTATCTCTCTCACATCGATGCTTCTCTCTCACTCTCTCTCTCCCTCCTACTTTATCTGAAGATAAATGGAAATATATCCTCGGTGAGGAGATATATCTATATCTATATCTATATCTATATCTATGTATATGTTTTATGTCTTTATATTTTTATTAAAATTATTTAATCTTTTCTATAAGCATCAACACATCATTTAAATGTTAAATAAATTCACCATAGTTTATTTAATATTCTATCATGTTAAAATGTAATATTCTATCATGTTAAAATGTAAGTTGTTTGAATTTTTACTGCCAAAAATATAGTGAGATTACAAATATAA